AACCTTTTTAACAGTTGAAAAATCAGGTTTTAGATCAATGATATTTGTACATTTGTACTGTTTTTATTAATTTTGTTTTTATTGTTGATCTTGTTTGATGACTTACGTAGTTAGCTATTCGTAACACCTCCTTGAGTTCGTCTGACATGCCGTGATGTTCTACAGCCATGAAGACGGTGTTGAGAACAATACAGACTGTAATGAACAGGTCAAACAAGGGGTCCGATGCAAAAACCATGACACCATTCTGGACATAGAGCCAATAGGTGTAGATGCTTGTCCCTGCACAGCAGGGGCAGTTCCGGTCTATCAGCTGACCCTTCCCTCGGGCTGGTTTATAGCCGTCACCCGTAGCTGTAAAACAATATGTCTTACCAATAAGCTCACTGAACATTTTATTTCGAACAAACATCTCCCTTTTTAAGGAATACAAGTTATCGAAATGTGAAAATAACATTTTTTTTATAGATAATTGGCAACTTCCATCTTTGACAGTTGTAGGATATATTTGAATGTGAAAAATTCTGGAATATTTCTGTTTAGATGCTTAGTATGGGTGAATTCCATCAGGTTGGCACTTTTGATGAATGGGTGTACATGGAACAAACTTACAGTCCCTTGATTCACAGGCAGCTATACAATCTACCAACCATATGAGCAATTATTTTGGTCAAGAATTATAACCAGCAGTTAATTGATTTTATGCAAATATTAAATGAACAAACACCAAAATGTCTACACATACCCAAGATGATCTCTGGTCCAACTTTCTTCTTTTTCACTGGATATTCACCAGCTTTTTCAAGGTGAATCGCAGAGGAAGAGATCTACGTAAATAAATCAATTAAGTTTCATGACTTTATTGCCATCAGAAAATTCATAAATTTCACTCTGACTAATTATGAGGCAGCCATTTCAACTAAGTTATAATAAACTGAAAATGAAAACAGGTTTCCTGTGACAAAGAAAGTATGTACAAGGTGTATGCGCCTAGACATAGCAAGGAACAGAGTTAATTATAACGCGAATAAAAAAATGAAAAAAAATGATTGAAATAAACTGAACAGAAACAGAATGTTCATGGTTTCATGAAACAAAACTTATAATAGAAAGAAAATATTATCGCTGATTATCTGTCATAAGATAATTTACAAATTTTAAGAAGAAATACTTGTTAAAGCTGGGTTTTTTTCTTTATAATTCTATCATTTATCTATCTTGAGTTATTATAATTAGATAAAATGATAAACAATGGTCAGTCAATGCCATGGAACCTGCATTTAAAACCTTTTTTTTACCACCAGGTAAATAACACTTTAAAATAGCAAAATCAGAATTCCCATTTTTTGACTATATATGAATAAAATAATTATAAAACAGTGGAATCAAAAAAAAAGGAAAATAATATAAGCAGTCAAAACTCGTCACAAATATCTATTAAATAACTGTCTGACATACACCTGTTATATTGCCACATATCTGGTCATATTTACATAAAGGATCGTTGAAAGCAATAGAGAGAGAGAGAGATGATTGTCGGAGCACTATCAGTCGCCTAGTGACATCATAACACAGTCGGTATTGTTACTATTGTTATAAGTATACATCTATAAAATTAGCATTATGGAAGCCTGTAGATTTCTATAATACCTGCACCACCAACGCCAGAAACATTTCGTGCATTCTCTTCTCACATAATATTTCTGAACAATAAAACTGATCATCAAAAGTTAAATGTTTGTGATTCTAAACACATAATGTAGCTGCATATTTCTTCTGATTACTATTCAATGGGTTGCCCTTATAGTCATATAAATTCCACAGTGATATTTTGAAACTGTTTTTATTGTTGAAAAAATTGAAACTTTATGCAGAAATGACAATGTGATCTCCATCATGTATACATATCAATGTAGATCTATTGATAAGTTGAATGGTTTGTTTAGTAAGTCCTTTTTAGTGATAGTTTAACTCTCATAAAACCCCACTAAAATCTTAATAATTTCTCAGATATAATTTATATTTACCGTATATTCATATAAGCCTTATGCTAGTCATGGTTCTTCTGTTTTGGCATCAATGCATTGAAAAGTGCTTCATATTAAATATCGGTCAAAATTACCTTGTGATAAATATTTCACTCAATGTCTACAAGTGATGGATTTAGTTTTGACATATAATTTGACACAATGACAGAGGTGATATATAATTTGTATTGTGAATATTACACATGTGGCATTGACAACACAAAAAATCCACTCTCGTTGAGGCTGTACAAAGATCAGGCTGTGTCAAAAAAAAAAATGAAAAAAAAATTAAAGTGCAAACAACATTGAGAATTTCCTGAATAAGTTATTATTGTCTTTATAAATTTTAGATAAAAAAATATACTATTAGATAGATTGAAAAAATGGTAAAAGATTTTTTATAAAACAAATTACAATTTTTAAATTAATTTTGGCTTATTAATTAAACTATTGGCTTTTTAATCCAAATCTATCCCCTTCTTCAAACTCAATAATAAATTTCATGTATGAAATATATACCTTTGGAACAGTTCATTTAATCACCAAATTTATACATAGCATTCTTATATTTAAGACAGTCAATACTTTTCAGCTTTTACACGTTTAATTTATCATTATTCAAAAACAGTTACAATTAAACTTCCTACATTATTTGAAAGAAAACAAATTAGCAATTATTTTTTATATTTTTTTTATATTCTTCAACTCTAAAAGAATACATCTAGTATGTAGCATAGTATTTTTTTCTGATTCTCTATTTTGAAAGTCTTTTTTTACATGTGAAATACACAGGTGCTTGGTCGTCAGGGTCAGTGAGACAGCGGGCTGTGCTTGGTGACCTTTCATCGTGCACATTTTACTTACTTTGTAATGACGTTTGACTGACAGATAACCCTGTAATATATAACCATGTGTTAAGGATATATGCTACCCTACACATTGTATCTTAGTGTCAGTTATCTCCCTTTAACTATTCCCATTATATAATAATTGAGAGCTACCTTTGTGTCATCAATACATGTATTCATTGCTTAAACTGTTTTAAATTTGTCATCAAAATAAATAATTAAGTCCAATTTAACCTAAAATAGACAGGAGAAACTCTTTTGCAAAAGAGGAGCATGTCAACATAAGGTAGCATATGTTCTTTAAACTCAAATTTGTCATATTCTCTCTATATGTCTACTGACCAACGTGATAACCACGTCAACTGGAATCAGTGAAAAGTTTCTGTGACATCAACCACAATATACATGTATGTGCAATCTATATATGTACAGTCTACATATAGATTAACCATTTATAGAAAAAAAGATATTGTAAATACACAAAGCTTCAGTCAGAAAGTTATTCTGTAAATAACCCCAGAAATAGTTTCTGACAAAAATGCCAGTGCCGTTACATTTTTTAGTGATTTGTAAAATATAATACAAAAAACATGTATATCAATTCTGAAAATGAAAAGGCAATTTCCTTCCATATGTTTGTAACATTAAGGAAAGATTACATGACATATCCAGTCCAGATTATCATCATTAATTGTGTTAGAATTGACACTCAAATCTCAAATAACATAAACCATGGGTAAATATAAACACAAGTCACCAACACAATTCATCAACTTAATTCAAGTCTGTATGATTTAGGGTTAAACACTTCTTTTTTCATTTTTGAATGGTATAAGACATTTCTCAATTTCCATGTAATGAAGGCTTTAGCAGACTTGGATCAAGCATCTAATGTGATAGATGAAGGGTAAACCAACAAACTAGAATACAATGATAAACAGAATGACAATATCAGGCTGATCTCATGTCAAAGTTCATGTTTTCATTTTATTCATCAAAATACCATATTAAACCTTTGATAAGTAAGGAGACCTGTTCAACAGGAATAGGATACTGTGATAAATGTGCTGAATTTTGTTTATGGCACTTACTTTGGAAAGTATTTTTCAAGATACATGTATAACACTTGTGTAAAAAATAAGTTCTAAAAGTGATGGGATTTTCAATGAGAAAGGGCTTATCACAGGTAAAATATGGTTAGGTCGCGGAATTAAATTTTTCATATAAGTCTGCAATTAGGAGCATACCCCTTTACCTGCAAATGAGACAAATGTTCCTCTTGTTCTAGCACTATTCTCAAATTGCATAAAATGCACCAAAAGCTTTTTAATTTTTTTAGAAACAAATTATATTTCTCTCTTTTAATTTTCATTGCTGCTGATACTCTTTGACTGAAACCACACATTCTTCAGATGAATCAATAAAGAAAATACTCATTTAATTTACAGAAAGAAAACTGACAATTACCAATCAGTCAGAAAAGAAAGGATATTATCATGCATGTCTATCAATTTTCATATCTATTTGTTCATTAAGAACTTTAAAAAAAAATTAAATGAGAGAAACCTTAAACATTAGGAAACAAACATTTTCATGCAAACAAGAGAAAGCTGGTGGTACCAAGTGTCAGGAGAGGCCGATGGTAGGTGTTGGGTTAGGTTAGAAGACAACCTCAGACGGAATCCTGTACAGAGTTCGCAGGTAGATTTAGGAAGAAAGCGGTGAATCCATCTCTGTGGTGAGGTAAGAGTTATCTCCCCTCTCCACGTGAGAACTACTACATGTGTTGAGTATATATATATAAATTATATATTTATATATGCGGTAAAATTTAGTGCACAAACTTACATTGTCAGTGCTTTGCTGTTTGATCAAATTCTGTCTTTTTGCGTTGGAGGGTAGAACCGGCAATTCCCCAAGGAGACCATGATTGAGAGAACCGGTACCCGAATCAGCGGTTTTATTGGCAATACTGTCCCAGCTGGTTGTGTCTCCATCTTTCTCCTTACTGCCTCCAGATTGTGAACTCTGTACAGAATATCCGCTGTCCTTGCTTGGCATTTTCACCATAGGCTTCCTCCCTTTGCCATATTTTACCAGGTTTTGGCCGTTGACTGTTTTCTCCGATTCCCCTTCTCCTTCAGGAACCTTCCCATTGGATTGTTTGTTGTCCGGATCCTTTCCTTTTGTTTCTCCAAGGTCAGATTTCTCTTTCCCACCTGGCTTCCATTTGGCTGCAGCTTTCGTTGCATTAGCTAGTTCCTTGAGTGGGTCTTTATCCTTTGCCCTTTGCTTTTGTGCCTCATTTTCCTGCAATTCAAAATGCAATATCATGATATATTGGTACGATAAGAAGAAAATGATCTAGACAAAAGTCATCACTTAAAAAATCATTTATATAAGTTCAAATTATGTTGATCTGGAGATTATATCATAATTATACATTTGGCATTGCATATTTTATTGTTTATACTGACCTATAGATACACGTATAAAGATTAATACCTTACCTAAATTAAACAACATCTGATGAATACCTGCATTCATAATTTATATAGAACAAATAATGTAGAGTATGGTTTTACATACAAATACAGAAACTGTGATGTTTTAATATGTGATACTAAATATTGTAATAATGTGAATCTACTCAATACAAAGAAGTATACATGGTAACAGAAAGGAGTTTACGAAGACATGCAAGATGGGGGAAATCAATATATAAATATATATATATTTATAAATTTACAGTAAGCATGAATATACGGATGTAAACATGAAATCTTTGTATTGAGGAAAAGTTTATGAAGACATGCAAACTGCAAAAAATAATAATAAAATTATGAATACCGTAAATGAACTTAATAAAATCATGAAAATAGGATCGCAAAAATGACAAGTGGCCCAAGGACCTTACTGGTCACCTGAGTTGTGATATAGTTGAAAAGTGTTATTTCTCTTTATGATCTGTAGAAAACTTCACCCTTGAAGGAAAGAGAAACAATTGACCTGAGAGAATCAAATTCACAATTTTGATAAACACCTTTGGTCGGTAAGTCACAGTACAAAATGTGAACGATTTATGGAGGTGTGACGCAAGACGACAGACAAAAGGCGATAAGAATAGGTCAAATAGGACTGTCTTAGGTGACTTACAAACAGTAGGTTAAAAGTACAAAACGTAATATGGAGTCTAAAGATGACTTAAATATATATATGAAAATTTCCAGATTTAAAGTCTGATTTCAATCTACATGGTTTACAATATCTAGTTTTAAAGTCAATACTGGTTGAGGTTTATATACAATATCTAGATTTAAAGTCGATACTGGTTCAGGTTTTATGTACAATATCTAGATTTAAAGTCAATACTGGTTGAGGTTTATGTACAATATCTAGATTTAAAGTCAATACTGGTTCAGGATTTATGTACAATATCTTGATTTAAAGTCAATACTGGTTGAGGTTTATATACAATATCTAGTTTTAAAGTCAATACTGGTTCAGGATTTATGTACAATATCTAGATTTACATACAAGGTCAAAAATAAAGTGTTGCTGGTTTGCCCTTGACCTAACGTTAACTCACTCTGTTTCCTATACTCAAACAATTTTCTTTTTCTTTTAATTTTTGACTTATTCCTTTGTTATGCAAAAGTCTTAATTCTTAACTTTACATTATTGCATGGCAGGAAATGAAAACTTCTTCCAAAATGTATCTTACTTAAACTACTCATAAAATTGTCATAGAGGTAGTCAAGTGAAAACAAACAACATTTCAAACATGACCCTATATTGGAGAATTAATAAAACACATACACAGGGAGAGGCCCGGGTTACATAAAATGCTGTCAAATGGAGGTCAACACATGCAAACAATGATATCTTTAGACATTGTTTTAGTTTTTCTATCATTTTTGCTATAACCATAACCTTGTTAAAGCATATTATATTGATTTAAATACAGTGCTGTCGTTGTTTTAAATATGGTAAAATCCTAAAATAGTACTTTTAGCAGGTTATAAATTCTACTGTAGCAATGAAGTTAAAAGTAGCCTCTAACATTATCATTGTTTGACATTTCCAAACTTTTAACATGATTTCCAATTACAACTGGAAGTGTTGGCAGAAAACATGTCATAGCTAGACACTCTACAATGAGAACTAGAAGTCTATATTGTAACCATGCACTGTCTTCAGCTTCACCGATTCAACCCTTCACCAATGTCATCTCTGCTTATATAGTCAGATCTTGACATAAAAACAAATTCAGTGTACATATATCATGAAAAACCTAGACAGGTCTTAATATTCTATAATTAAGAAAATTGGTTTGCACAATTTTGTAAAAAAATAAATAACGTTTACATAAACAACTGAAGATAGTGATGCAATTATGTTTTGACTTCCATAGCTCTCTTGTTACAATGTATTTTATAGTATAAGAAATGCTTGAGGAAGACCTATTGAACACACTATCAGAGAATGGCGTTCATTTTAACAGACTGATTAGGATTTCAAATTCTTTTAAAATGAGAGATTCTTTTTACACTCAATGCTGCTTTCAATTTGACCAATGAAAACAATTTTGATCATCTTCCTAAACATCACATTTTCTTTCCAGAATTCCAACATCCTAAGATATATGTAGAATGTTATGAGGTTTTTCCCATTGATGCTCTGGTCTATTAAAATGAACGCCGTTGATAGTCAGTCTGTAAGAGAGAGTCACGACAGGAGGACTCTACTCACCATCATACGTACTGATCTACCCCAAACTCTCTGTGAAATAATCATCAGCTACAGTCAGTCCTCTCACAGTAAGGATCTATTTTCTGTTTTAGCCCCATTACATGGATCAATAACTAATAGCAGAGTTTCCAGTCAGCCGTTACCAGAGTTTGTTTTATGGTTAGTTTCTAACTACACACTCAAGGCTAATAAACATAATTTATCAACATCTAAACATTTTCAATTTTTCCTAGAAGTTTTGCAGATGAATTTCCTTGAATTAGACCCATGGGCTATACATTGTATTTCATGTCAGTAAAATTCACAACAAATAATATCAACATTCCAATGTGAATAAAACGACTACTAGTAGATCTAGACAGTTCAACAATGAGCTAACATCTGCATGTATATACACTTTGACATAAAATGAATGTTAGCTGACCGAATTTTCATGTGACTTCAACTAAAGTGCAAAAACAGCAGCCATTTCAAAAAGTGATTTCACAAAAGAACAAGCTACCACTTGCAGACACTATGATATTGAGGCTATAAACTGATGTGACGGGTATTTTCAGGAGAACAATACTATACCGCCTCAGTGGAGTCTGCCTCTTCTTCGTACGCCATGGCCACCACAGCCAACATGAGGTTGATTAGGTAGAAGGATCCAAAGAAGACAACAACCACGAAGAATGCCACATGGAACGGCCCAGAAGCTCGTATAACCTGTACGTACAAACACAATGAAGGTCAAGGTCTTTACGGATTTCATTGAAGGGTACTGTATCATTGTGGAATTTAATAGTGACTTGGGAAAAATGACACATAACATTCTTATGGGGAAATAAAGCGTCTTTTTAACAAATTTGTAGATGTATTTAACATTTAACGAATATTTAAATCTTATTTT